TGGAGCCCCTCTGCTGGGAGGACAGGCTGGGAGAGTTGGGGGGGTTCAGCCTGGGGAAGAGAAGGCGAAAAAGGGGAGACCTCAGAGCCCCTTCCAGTGCCTAAAGGGGCTCCAGGAGAGCTGGGGGGGGACTCTGGATCAGGGAGGGGAGTGATGGGATGAGGGGGAACAGTCTGACATTGAAAGAGGGGATTTAGATTAGATATTAGGGAGAAATTTTTCACTCTGAGTGCAGTGAGATGCTGGTGCAGGTTGCCCCGAGAAGCTGTGGCTGCCCCATCCCTGGAGGTGTTCAAGGCCAGGTTGGACGGGGCTTGGAGCAACCTGGGCTGGTGGGAGGTGTCCCTGCTCATTGCAAGGGGGTTGGACTGGGTGGCCTTTAAAGGTCCCTTCCAACCCAAACCATTCTGTGGTTCTATGAAACCCACTGGGGACAGCGAGGCTGGAAGGATGCTCTCAGCCCCACTGGTTAAACCTCACGTGTGGGGATAAATCCCATCCCTTGCACTTGTTGTGGGCTCACCAACAATGTTTTTGCCTGGTTGGCACTCAAACCTCTCCGGCTAGGAAGGAATAAAGGTAACCCTGCTATTTGCAGGAAGGAATTTAGTTTGACGCTCCCGAGCTGATGCTGCACCCTGCCTGCGGCATGCCTGCCCTGCCCTACATTCAGCTGCCGTAGGGATGTGCTTCACGCCCATCGGAAGCAGTGGCGTGACGGTGACATCTCAGGGGACACCACGAGGACGGAGCCCTCCCGGAGCAACGGGGGATCCCCTGGGCATTGGCACCGTAAGCAGCTGGTGGGCTGAGTCCTGGCAGTGGTGGCTGGATGGGTCAGGAAGGGATTTGCAGCTAAAAAGAGGCCACGAAAAGCGGAATTTAGGGAGTGCGGGGACAGGCAGGATTCCTTGTGTGTCCCTGGGAAGAAGCACGGTGCCATATGGCACCTGGAGTGTGGCATGCTGGCAGCCGTGTGGCTGCGCTTGGGCAAGGTGGGCATCACACCCCAGTGTGGGCATCACATCCCACTGCGGGCATCACACCCTGGTACGGGCATCGCAACCCATCGCAGGCGTCACGTCCCGTTGCGGGCATTTGTTATGGGTTGAGAAACCCACAACAATTTATTGGTGTTTAGACAATTATTCTCTCACCCGATGAGCCCTCCCCAACCCGGGAAGGGGAATTGAGGGAAAAAACCAAGGAAACCCAAGGGCTGAAGTATAAACAGACTTAATAGAATAAGATTAGATAATGAACAATAATACTACTAAAGAACAAATATCGATCCTGATACAAATATAAAATATACAAGGGTGATACTCAACCCGTTCTATGGGTAGAAGCCGTGCGTTCCCCGCAGTGACAGCCAATGTGGGTCCCTGTGAGCACTGTGGCTTCGGGAGGACGGGAAGGGCTTGGGGCTGCGGCACCGGGGCGAGGAGTTCTCAGGGTGGCAGCCGTCACGGGAGAGAGAAAAATCCTTGGCAATCCTTGGCAAACTTCCTAATTTATATGAAATGTGCTGTTGCTGGTATGAACTAACCGTGTTGGGCAGCGTGTCAAGTGCCCGGGTCTCGCTCCTCCTCATCCCCACACCTGGTGAGCTCGAAAACACCGAGACCTTGAAACCCACATCCTGTAGCTGGCTAGAAAGTAAATATTTTGTCCATTTCAGTCTTCTAAAAGTGCACTTTTCCCAGGCATGAGAAGAGAAATCAGTCCCGTGTCAGTCAAACCAGGACAGCATTTTATCCTGGCATGGGCATCCCATCCCATTGTAGGCATTGCACGCCGGCGTGGGCATCACGCCCCATCGTGGGCATCACAACCCCTTGTGGGCATCACACTCCATCGCCGGCATCGTGCCCTGGCGTGGGCATCACGTCCCCCTGTGGGCATTGTACCCTGGTATGGGCATCACCACCTGGTGTGGGCATCACAACCCACTGTGGGCATCACAACCCATCACAGGTATCGCACCGTGGTGTGGGCACCGCACCCCACGGTGGGCATGGCACCTTGGTGTGGGCATCGCAACCCGTCGCGGGCATTCGGGTCACCCGGGGCTCCCCGCAGAGGCGCCCCGCCGGGCTGGCAGAGGCGGCGGGGGGATAGGCAGGGTGGTTCCGCCAACTGGTTCCACTAAACCGCCAGGAGGAAAACGAAACCTGTTTCCCCGCCGCCCCACCTGCCATGGAAACGTTCCCCCTGGAAATGGGCCGGCCCACAGCGGTTATTACGCTTGTAATAACGAGCTGCTCATTAGCCCCGAGGATTTCTGGTGGAGGAAAGAGCATGGGATTTGCCCTTGGGGAAAAACAGGGTGGGGGAAAAAAAAAAAC